ACCATGACCCCCTCCCCCCAAAGGGGGGAAGGAGTCGAAGCGAACTGGGGGGGCGGCCCCCCCCGTTCAAGGTGAGAGGGGGTTCGAGCCGGGGGGTGGGGGGGGGGGGCCATCCTCGAGTTGCAAAGGGGGGGTTCGAACCAGGGGCGGGGGGGCCCCATGTCCAACGCGGGGAGAGTTTGCAACCGGAATGGGGGGGGGCCGGAGGGGTTCAAACCAGGGAACTCGGGGGCCCCCGAGAGAAGGTGTTTGTGTGGCCCGGTGGGTGTTTGTGTGGCCAGGGGTGGTGTGGACCCTATAAACTCTCGAATGCGGCAGAAGGGGAGGTTCGCCTCCAGGATGAGATCCAGGCCCCGATAAAAATCGAACGGCGATCCTCTTAGGGCATCTGAAGATGTTGACTGGGGGTGAGCCTGCGGGAAGAGACCCAGACCCCCTTCATATCTGATACAAAAACATATGACGAGCCTCTAAGGGCATCCATCTGAAGATCTTCTTGGGGGGGCTGAAGATTCGATTGGGGGGCTGAAGAACTCCTTGAGGGGGCTGAAGGGCTTCTGGGGGCCTCTGGGGAGCTTCTTGCGGCCTCTATAAAGCTTCTCTGGACTTCTGAATGATCTACCGGGGCCTCTGCGGAGCTCCTTGCGGCCTTTCTAAGATTTCTTGCGGCTCGCTTTGATGATGACGATGATAATGATAATGATGATGATGATGATGCTGCTGCTGCTGATGATGATGATGATGATGATAATGCTGATGATGGTGAGGATGATGATGATGACGATGTCGATGTCGATGATGATGATGCTGCTGATGATGGCTTGATGATGATGATGATGATGATGATGGTGGTGATGATGATGATGACGGCGATGCCGATGTCGATGTCCATGACGATGATGATGGTGATGATGCTGCTGCTGATGATGATGCTGATGGTGGTGGTGTTAGTGGTGGTGGTAATCAGTAGAAGGACGAGGAGGAGGAGGTGGAGGAGGAGGAGAAGAAAAAGAAGGAGAAGGATGAGGAGGCGGAGGAGAGCCGTCACATGTGACACCTTTCGTCTTCACTTCTCGGCGAACTCTCATGGGCCTTATTTTGGCTGTCTTGGGTCTGCCCTGGGCTCCCGTGGGCCAGTCTTGGGGCTCCCTTGTGGCCCTCTTGGCTGGTCGGCTCGACCAGAGGGGAGAACGATAGCAAACCTGATTGGAAGAACAAGACGCGGCATAAACATACACTTTTGAGTTCCGCGCGGATTTCTTTGATCTGCGCTGGACCCCTCCCCTCCCTGGCGCGCTCCGCGCGCCAGAGACGGCGCTGGAGGCGCCGCCAGGGGGGGCTCCAACGCCGATCCGAGAAATCCGCGCGGACAGCCGAAACGTTTATGTTTGGGCTCTCTTTTCCGATGGTCGCCATCTTTGAGCAGGTCGCTGTATCAATCGGCGGCGAGCCTGGGGGGAAGTGAAAAGGGGCGGGCCTTCTCAGAAGGCACGGACATCCCAGGGCCTTCTGAGGAGTTTTCTAAAACTTCCCCGAAGACACAGGAGGCTTCTCGGAAGGTGCGAGGGCTCTTGAGAAGTCCCGCCGCCTTCTGAGAAGGCCTTCTCCTTCTCACTTCCCTCCCTCTGGCCGTCGCTCGGACGTCCATTCCCTGTGTTTTTTGGGTTTCGTGCGTGGTTTTTTCGCTCGCCGCCGACTCAAGCTGCGCGATGTTTGCGCTGCCTCCCGTCGCAAATCGCTCTCCTACAATGGTCGCCCGGGGGTGCTCGCACGCCGGGGGGGCGTCGTCGCCGCGTCGCAGTGCCAAGGCGGCTAGCCCAAGCCAATCTTGACCGTGATGTCCTTCCCTCTCTCCTCGCGGGTCGGCCGAGAGGGTCCTCCTCCTCCTCCTCCTCCTGCTCCTGCGAGGAAAAGCAGCATGTACATGAGCTTTTGGCGCTCCGCGCGGACTTCGTCGATCTGCGCTGGGCACCCCTCCCTGGCGCGCGGAGCGCGCCAGGGGCGGCGCTGGAGGCGCCGCTGGGGAGGCTCCAGCGCGGTTCCAAGAAATCCGCGCGGAGCGCCAGCAAATTAGACTTGTGCCGCTTTCTCTTCGTCTGACTACCTACCAGGCCGCCCCAATCCAACCCGAAGACTCGAATTTCGCCAGAATTTCCGGTTGGGGGGGTGCGGCTTTCAGACGTGTTTTCTCAATGCTCCCCGACCCCCCCCCCTTCAGGCAAATCGGGGCCTTCGGGTTGGGTTGGGGTGGTTTGGTGGGCGGTGATCTTCGAGGCAAAGGATCGTGAAAAGCTTAACGACTTCTGCCGTCCTTCGACTCGCGCCGGATCGGCCGCGATCCAACTTTCCCTGGAGATCTCTGGATTTACCTGGATTTACTCGGATTTATCTCGATTCACCTGGATCTACCTCGATTCATCGGCATCTACCTGGATTTATCTGGCTCGATCTCCACAAATCGATTGGCGAAAAGTCGACAAGCCCTTAGGGAAAGGAGGGGTTGGCGGAGCAGCTCGCGTGGCTGATCTGTTCCCGGCGCCTCCCGGCGCCAGAGGCGCCAAGGCGTCGACGAAGGCCCCCAGCGGCAAGGCCGACAACAGCTGCAGGCAGCAGCTTTCGTACCCCCTCCTCCTTCTCCTCCTCCTTTTCCTCTTCATTTTCCTACTCATTTTCCTCCTCCTTTTCCTCCGCCTTTTCCTCCTCCTCCTCCTCCCTCCTCCTCCTCCTCCTCCTCCTCCTCCTCCTCCTCCTCCTCCTCCTTTTCCTCCTCCTCCTTTTCCTCCTCCTCCTCCTCGTCCTTTTCCTCCTCCTTCTCCTCCTCCTCCTCCTCCTTCTCCTCCCCCTCCCCCTCCTCCTCCTCCGACCCGATCCTTCAAAGTCCTCTCCATACTCTCGATGTCTTGCTTCAAGCCGTCGCCGCTGGCGAGGTGGATCGTCTGCAGCTGGCTGTCGGCGCTCTCTGCCAGTGCACTCTTCATGCTGTCAATCACAATCGAACTGACGCTGCCCGCCAAGGCCAGCACCTAGGATTTGCACAATTATGTAGAACCACCTGATTCGTCTTCCCCCCTGCGAGGGGAGAGGGGGAAGAACGAGCTGGATCTGTACTGTGGTCCTCCGCCGAAGCACCTCCAGGGTGGCGTTCGCCCTCAGCATTTCCCCCATGGCCTTCCCGCTCAGCTCGGCGCCGTCCAGCCAGAACGTGGTGACGCCGACATTCTTCCCCAGGGCGGGGCCCAAGAATTCACCCTCGCCAGGCCCGATGCCGTTGTCCTGGAGCTTGATGACCTTCAGCGTCGTGTTCCCCTCCAGCACCCCTGCAAACGCCCGAAGGCCCTCGACCCCGATCGAGTTCTTCACCGTGTCGAACCTTGTCAGGGTCGTGTTCACCTCTCGGAGAGACTCGGCAATGGCGATGGTGGCCTCTGCCTGCACATTGTTATCGCTGAGCTCCAGCGTCGTGAGGCAGCCGTTCGCCCGGAGCGCCTCTGCGAACGCCCTGCCGCCTCGAGCTCCGAGCTCGTTGCTCCCGATCCGCAGCGACTTCAGGCACGTGTTTTCCTTTACGGCCTCAGCAATCTCCGCGCCCGCCTCGGAGCCGATGCCATTTTCTGCAATGCCCAGGTGTTCCAACGACTTGTTCGACCGCAGTGCTTTCGCAAAAGCTCTCCCGCCCATGTCGCCGAGCTCGTTCTGCGGGATCCACAGTCGGTTGAGCGTGGCATTAGTCTCCAGGGCAATCGCGATTGACGCTCCGCCCTCAGGTCCGAGCTTGTTGCCGTCGATGTGAAGGGCCACGAGACACGTGTTGTAGCGTAAGGCGCTCCCGAACGCCTCCCCGCCCTTGCGTCCTAACTTGTTGAACCCCGTGTTCAGGGTCCTGAGGCAACTGTTCTTCGAGAGCGCCTCGGCCACGGCCAAACCGCCCTCCTCTCCGATGCCATTCCGCCCTATGCGCAGATTGTGGAGAGTGTCGTTTCCCTCAAGAGCCTCTGCCATGTGCCTTCCCCCAGCCGGCCCCAAATTGTTGCCGTCGATCAGCAGGCTTCTAAGCGTCCGGTTCTGGAGCAGCATCTCTTTCATATACTCCGAGGCCTGTTCGCAGAGGCGATTCCTTGACAAGACAGCGTCCTTGAGAGTGCTGTTCGTCTCGAGAGCCCGTGCTAGGACCCTCCCAGAGTCGGCATCCAGATTGGCTCCCTTGAGGAAGAGGTTGTACCTGAGCGGGTTCAGAGCCAGCGCCCGGGCAACCTCGAGAACCTGCCTCTCGACGCTCGCGGCGTCCGTCTTTGTCTGCCTCAGGATGTCCAGGAGGTCCTTCTGCAATTCCTCCGAAGACAGCGGCCTCTGGAACGTCAGCTCCGCCCCCTTCTCGCTGATGAGCTCGTGCGGGAGCTTTGTGACGTCCGTCTGCTGATTTACCCTGTAGAGCGTGTAACCTGCATGCACGTTCCCGAGCTTGAAGAGCCGGTGCGGCTCCTGCACCTGAATCACCCCAGCAACCTCGTGCAACTGCAGCTTGTCGAGGATGTGAAGGCGATCGCTGCCCTGCGTCAGCTGGAGCCTCCTGGTGTCTTCACGCTTGATCGTGATGGGCTCCAGCAGCTTGCACTCGATGCTGCTGCTCGCCTCGGCGTGGCGTTCCGCACACGCCGCCGCACTCTCGAGCTTGGCCTTCCGCATGTGCTCCGCGGCCTCTCGGAGCACGCTGCTCTTCAGCCACTTGACGGAGTCGGTGATCTCCAGCGCCATGCGGATCGAGGAGAGCAACTCCACGTCGTTGTTGAAGTGCTCGGCCGCCTCGTCTTCCGCCAAGCTGGTCAGCTTCCTGCACGCCAGGTCGCGCACGGCCCCCGAAGTTGCAGCCGCCTCGCTCTTGGAATACTGGCCGGCAGTCGCCGCCCACTGGTACCGCTCCACCGCGGTGCTGACCTCGGACCGCAAGTTCTTACACATGTCCGTCACGAGCCGCTTCCGCTTGTTGATGACCTGGTCGATCGTCAGGGCGGAGAAGTTGACGTTGAGGCGAATCTGGATGTTCGGAGGAGGGCCGATGGAGGCAGCGGCGGCTCTACCGCCCAGCCCACCGCTCGAGATCTTGTATATTCAAGTCCCTGTTTGGTCTGAAATGGAATGGGGGGGTGTTTAGGGGGAGGGGAGAAGATAGATGTTTACGTGGGTGCGCGTTTTCAGTCCCCAGGTCGCATGCGAAAGCTTGGCATCTCTGGGGAAACCAAAAGGTGCCGATAACGCTACCCCCCGGACCTCTCCTGGGGTGCGTTCCGACCAGAATTTCGAGGCGAATCCAGCGGTGGCGACGAGATCCTCCGAGGAGGCCCACAAAAATGGGAAAACGGCCGAAGGGTAGAGGTATGGGTACCTGTTCCTCCTGTGAATCTCTATGCTTATAAACTTGCGCAAGATGCGAAGCTAGCAACATCCACCCTCGACGAGATCGGCCAGCTCCTCGAGGCGATCCTGGCCGCGGCGACGAAAAATAAAACATAGTCGAAACAAATTCAAGAATGATCAAAAATACACAAAAAGTCGTCCCCAGACTATTTTATTCAATCGCTTCGCTCAATCCGCCGCCCCACATGGAGCGCTCTTTGGGGCCTCCTGGGGGCCTCTTTGCGGCCTCTTGGGGGGCCTCTTGGGCGCCGCTTGGCTCCTTGGAAGCCTGTTGGCCGCTTCTTGGGGCAGGAGGGGGGGGGGAGTCGATGGCGCCTTCCCCTCGGAGGCCACGATCCTCGTGAGGGGTGTCTAAAAATTGCCTGGTCTGGCATCTCTCTGACCCGGACTTGCCGGGGAACTTGCCCAATTTTATGTCAGCGTGCCATCGCGAACTAATTGGGCGAGCCGTGCATTCGTCGTTCCCGTGCCGACTCTCGCCGATGAAAGGGTGAGCGGCTTGCCTATCTGCTTCTTGACGCTGAGGGGCAATAGTGCGCCAGCGCTTGTGTCGACGACGGGAGGTGAGAATAGCCGGAGCACCACAAGCAGGGGGAGGAGGAGGATGAGGAGGCGGAGGGGGAGGAGGAGGAAGAGGAGGAGGAGGGGGAGGAGGGGGAGGGAAAAACAGGAGGAGGGGGAATTGGGGGGAAGAGGCGGCGTGGAGGTCTCTGGATGGTTTGTCTGCGGTATTTTGGGTGCCTGTGCTCGTGTCCAGAAGGAACAAGACAATGAGCAGGAACAGGAGGGGGAAGAAGGGGCGGAGCAACAGGAGGAGGAGGGAGAGGGGAGGATGAGGAGAAGAACGCCTCTCGATGGCTGCTTGCAATTTTGCATTCTGGAGCTCAGGTTCGTTCGGCCCATCCCGTCATTGTGCGTGGGTTGTGGGTGAGACTTCTTAGAGATGCGTTGTGGGGTCTCTTCGGAACGCAGTCGTGAGCTTCAGAGAGTCAGTGCACAGGAAGCTCTTGGTTGGTGTGGGGGGAACTTGAGCTGTTCTTGGGGCTTCCTGGGGGGTGCTTAGCCCCGAGGGTTCGAAATGATGTTCCCCCCAGACTATCTTACTTCAAACTATTCTTGAACATTCCTCCTGTAGAGGGACGGGCCCGACTTGACGAACGGCCCCTGGGAGGCCCCAGACGAGCACGAGGCACGCGAGGGGCGAGGCCGCTCCTGCCACGCCCGGCCCCCCCTCCGAGATGTAGAGGATGCTGCCCTCGATCCGCGAGCCGAGCACCTCCATGCCTGATGGGGCGACGATCGGGGGGGGGGGATAGGCACGGGGGGGGGGAAGCATCGACCTGGAATCGGCGATACATCGCCGATGGATCGGCGAGGGGCCCCTGACGGTGGGCCCGCACGCTCCTGGGCAAGTCGGGGGCTACTGGGCCCCGATCGGTGGTCCGTGGGCGACTGGGGGTCCATGCATCCTCCCCCCTGTGCCTGTCCCTCCCCCCCAGACATCCGACTGCTCCAGTTTTTTCGATGCGTGGGCCCCAGAGGTCCAGACCACTCCCTGAGTCGTTTTTTGACGCTCTCGAGGCCCGGCGAGGGCCCCGAGGGGCCGAAGACAACCCAAAACCACCCGCTCCAACTTTGCCGGAGCGTCGGATCTCTGGGCCGATCCTTGCCCTGGAATGCCGGTGAGCGGGGGGAAACATATCTCCCTCTCGTGCGGGTACTGCGACAGGGGCGAGAGGTCGGCACCGCGGTCGATCATGCCGGTCTGGATCTCGAAGATGGTGGCGGCCAGGGCGCTCCCGTGCTGCACGTACTGCTTGGCAACCTCTTGGGCGAGGAGGAGGAGGAGGAGGAGGAGGAGGAGGAGGAGGAGGAGGATAGAAGCCGGGATAGCAAAAAGGGGTTCACGAATCTGCTCTCATGGCGACTCATGGCGTGGGGGTCCCAAAACCGTGTTGTGGCAGACTGCGCGGTGACCTCGGAATCCCAAGAGAACCTCACCGCACAGTCCCGACACCACTCGAACTTGGGACCCTGGGGGCCCTGGTCGCCCGAGACGTCCTCGGAGAACGACCCGAGTCCTAAAACCGTGCGGTGATCCCGAATCCCCACTGACTCTCCACGCGGTGTGGTCACCACACCGTCTGGGTGGCTAGCTTTCAAATTCCTGGCGCCTCCCAGCACCAAAGGCGCCCATGTGTCCCTCTCTCTTTCCCTCTCTGCCGTGATGTCCTTCCCTCTCTCCTTTCGGGTCCGAAATGGTGAGGCAATCCGCCGGCCCCCTTGTGGGGCCACCAGGCTGTAGGCGCGAGGTTCGCAGTTTCCTGTACCAGTTGTAGCTTGTAGTTTCCAGTGTTTCAGTTCTGCTTCTTGCTGGTTACTGTAACTAGTTGATTGACCGCGCGAGGGGGGGGGAGGCCCAAACCGACATTTTAGCACCTCCTGGGCGCGTTGTCTGAATTGCTGGGGGGGCTCGAAATCGACACCCCTCACGCAGATCCGCGGGGTCAGGGTCCAAAAACACAAAGGATTTGCAACATTTCTGAAATTCGGTGCCACCTCTCACGCAGATCCGCGGGGTCAGGGTCCAAAAACACAAGGGATTTGCCACATTTCTGAAATTCGGTGCCACCCCTCACGCAGATCCGCGGGGTCAGGGTCCAAAAACACAAGGATTTGCCACATTTCTGAAATTCGGTGCCACCCCTCACGCAGATCCGCGGGGTCAGGGTCCAAAAACACAGGGGATTTGCCACATTTCTGAAATTCGGTGCCACCCCTCACGCAGATCCGCGGGGTCAGGGTCCAAAAACACATGGGATTTGCCACATTTCTGAAATTCGGTGCCACCCCTCACGCAGATCCGCGGGGTCAGGGTCCAAAAACATAGGGGATTTGCAACATTTCTGAAATTCGGTGCCATCCTTCACGCACATCCATCGCAAGGCGTGGTAACCCAAACTGCGAGAACTCCCTCGGCCCTTTAATCGCAAGGTGTGGTAACCAAGCCCTTAAACCATACACGTCTTACCAATCGCCAGGTGTGGTAACCCCTCTTGTGATCAGTTGGCTTTGCTGATTGCGACTCGGCTTCGCATGAAGTTTCGATACTGCTTCACGACAGCGCCAAGGCCTCATGACTTAGCTCTTCCATGGCCCATTCTCCGAGAGAGGGGGCCGGCGGCAGGGGGCGAAGCCCTTACGGATAACAGCGAATCGGCCCACGTGGTTGACTTTCGATATCAGCCGACCCCTGGTGGGTCTCTAGGCGTGTGAGATGTCCCCCCCTACAGCCCCCCCCCAAGGACCCCAAACTGAAAATGTGCGGTCGCTCGAGCGATGTTCCATCGTTTTACAGTGGGTGGCCCACTGTCCAAGGGACAGTCGACGAAACCACCACCGATTGTCAATTTGACAATGGGGGGGTAAAAGATTTTTCCACTGCCACATGGGGAACCGGGTTTCTCGATGTCCCCCTGAGAGTGGCGCCCCCGCTGTCGGTTGGGCGTTCGGGGCTCACTTCCCGCCGCTCTGGCTTGGTCCCCTCGATTGCCAGTTTGACAATGGGCGACCCACTGTCACATGGTACACTGGGGATCCCCCTTGCAACCCGCTCGCCCCCCCGAATGCCCATTTGACAAAGGGGCCCCACCGTCAGGTCGCCATTCGGCCCCCCCCCCTCGCCCAGAGGCCCCCGAATGCGCACTTAACTATTGGGCCCCACTGTCAAATGGCCATTCGGGCTCCCCCTTCTGCTGGATTCCCCCAAATATGTTTGGTTCCCTTTGGATGCTTTGAAATAATTCCAGCTTTCGCGGGGTTCCCTGGGTTCTCAAGGGTTCTTGCACGTTTTACCGTATTCATTTCTGATTTTGTGGGGTTCCTCAAAATTCTAGATTCCTCCAACGTCCTTTCGACTCATGCAGGCTCCTGGATGTTCCTCCAATTTCGAAAACATCCGAAAGTTCTTGTGGACACCTCAGGACTTCATTGGAGTGCTCAAGATTTCCACAGATTCCTCAGGCTCCCTCCAGATCCCCGCGGATTCCTCTTGGACTTTTCCAGCTTCTCCAACACTCTTCCAGATTCTTCAAGACTCCCCCGGATTCGAACACGTCTTACGGGTTCTTCATTGTTCATTCCTGGGGAAGGAGGAGGAGGAGAGGAGGAGGAGAAGGAGGAGGAGGAGGAGGAGGAGGAGGAGGAGCAGGAGCAGGAGCAGGAGGAGGAGGAGGAGGAGGAGGAGGAGGAGGGGGAGGGGAAGGATGATGACTATGATGATGATGATGATGATGATGATGATGATGATGATGCTTGATGATGAT